ATGGATGGATGGATGGATGGATGGATGGATGGATGGATGGATGGATGGATGGATGGATGGATGGATTTTTTTAATGTGCCATTGAATTTTTACTATGGAAATTTCAATCAGTTTTATTTAGACCATATAAGTACATTTTGCATGTATTATTTTTATTGCTTTCATTTCAAAAATAGTTTTTTTTTCCCTATAAACATCATACTTCTTAATCATCCATCTCATGTGACTGAACATCCTGCCCAAAGAGAACCCCCAGATGGTTTGCACTACTGAGGTCACCTGCACATGATGACATCAAAGCATAGAGACTACACACAAGCAGGAACACGTTTTTTTTTTTCTCCCCCTCCTGAACAGCCTGCGGCCTCAGGCCAGCAGCCACCTAATTGCTGGGGAGCATAGGCGCTTCCCTACCTCATTGCCTTGGATGATGTGATAGATCTGCCTCAGGTAGAGGCAGCCACCTGCTTTGTGGCAGACCTCCAGCAGCATCAGGCCTATTTTCTGCTCAGTCAGTTCAGCTGCAGCAGCTCCCCTCTCTGCTCCCTGCTCAAAGATGCTAAGAGAGAAACAGGAGAAGACGAGGTGAAGGAAAACAACAAGGACCACTAAAACGTGCAATTTCACACTTCTGAGCTGAGAAAGTATTTTCCAGATAAGTGGAGAATCTGGAAATTTGTGACTTTGGTGTAAAATCCCTATAGTCAGTGTAATTTGACTGACTATAGGGTTTTCTGTATTACTGTTATAAAAGTCCATTCACAAGAGAGAGTTGGAAACTTTAACTCAGTTTTCATCAAATAAGGACAAATAAATACATCCCAAATCTTTTAAACAACTTGGCTTTGTGTCAACTGTTTTAGTGGACCATGTGTTCTATAGAATATCTTAGTGCATCTCCTGTGGCCTACGAAAAAATCTGTATGCAATTCTACAAACACATTTCAACTACAAAACAAAGAAGGGAATATTAAGGAGCAAGGGTGAAAAAAAAATCCCTAAGTTTGCAGAAGATTTAGGAAATGTTGCATGAACATGTGCTATATCCATCCATCCATCTTCTCCTGCTTATTCCATCAGGGTAGTGGTGGCGCTGGTGCCTTTTTCCGGCAGTCTATGGGCCAGTCTATCACAGGGCAAGATAAGAAAAAAAACACACCAACTCACAACTAAGGACAATTTAGAGATGCCAGGTAACCTAACAGTCGTGTTTTTGGACTGTGGGAGGAAGCAGGAGTCCCTGGAGAGAACCTATACAGAAACTGGGAGAACATGCAAACTTAATGCAAATGTGGTTTATCTGATAGACCATACAAAGTATTTTTTAGCCATGACATGGCAGGACTACGATCAAGTTTTTTTTCTAAAGTTTCACAATAAAAATTCTGTAAAATAATGGTGAGCATAAAGTTACTTTTGATGAGGTTACATAAATGTAATCCTTGAAGAAAAGTATTGGAGGATACAAAAGACCAGGATGGAGATTCACCTTCCACCAGGACAACTATCCTCAACATAAAGTTAAAAACTACAGAACTAGATAAGTTCCTCCGTAGATTATGAACCTATGAAGCCCATTAATGAGCTGGGGCTAAAACTGCAGCAAAAAAGATGGTTCTTTGCTTCAGGGGGGTTAAAATATAGACACACCATACTTTTCAAATTTGTTTTAATAACATGTTTTGAGAACCACCAGTGGATTCAGCGATGTACTACATCTGCTAAGTACTATGAGCAACAGTCAGTAAAATCTTTTATAAAAGTCTGAAAGCAGTTGATCTTAATTTCAGCTTTATTTTACCTGTACACAAGTGAATACATAAAAACAAATTATAAAGTATTTGACAACAAATATTTCCTTGAGATACTAAAAGAAAACTGGACCAGATGATCCCACTGCACTAAAAGAATCAGTGTGTGTGTGTTTTATTTAGGACCTGAATGCGTAATTGTATGTCAAGGTCCTCAAGTATATACAGTTCCCAACCCTGGCATACGCCCACTTCATTTCTTGCCCTTTCTGTATGGATGGCTATCACACCTCCGTCCGTCAAGTCTTCTCTTTCACACACACTTCCTGTCATTGTTTCCTTTCTCGTCCTCTTTCCCCTCTTCCTCTTTGTAATTATAATATGGCAGAAGCTGTGTCGCCTGTCAGCCAGCCATTGGCTGTTTGACATTGAGGGTGGCAAAAAGAAGAGGAGTCCCGTCTTGTCCATATACATCGCCTCATTCTTCTGCCTGGCGGCCCGACTGGTGGTGTTGTCGGCGGTGGCGGCTGTGCATCCGTGTCAGCACCTGCGCTGTATCCTTTCCTGTCCATCACTGTGCAGGTGAAGCAGATGATTGGATTCAGTCAGCGGGGTGATTAATGAGGGCCCCTCCGGATTTGGGACAGCCTATCAATCATGTCATTAGGGCCAATGTGCCCTGAAAGAGGCAGACCTCCGCCAAGGAATAACTGCATTCATCTTCATCTGTGTATGCATCCCGTCAGCCCAGCCAGGGTCACCATGATGGAGAACAATAATCTTCTCCTCTACAAATTACTTTGCAAAGACAACGTGGGTGGTGCAGTAAGTGGGAAGGGGGGATTACAGTGGGCAAAGGGAAAGAGGAAAGTGAGATGAGAAAAGGGGAAAGGGGCTTTTACAGGGGGCAAACGTCCGTTTATGGGGGTTTCAGTCCAAATATGATGCTAGCAGAAAAGGGGCTGCATCCTGTGGAGTTATTAAACACAACGGCTCGCTCTCTGCCTAACAGTGTTCTCTGATTGTTTACAAGTCAGGCGTCACTTCCCTGTGAAGGTTAGTTTAATGAATAGTAATGATCCCACTGAATGCCTCCGACAGGTGATACATAATCACTCTTCTTTCACTTTTACACTCATCCCCCCTCGCTCTGACGCTCTATGCTGCCCCATCTGTTCCCTCTCTTTTTTTCCTCCACCTCTCACCCCCTCTTCATCTTACTGTAACAGGAGGGCCTTTTACTAGGACCGCTTGCAGCCTTACTAAATGTTTTCATCTGTTCATTTACTCAAAGTTGTTATGCCACTAAATCGCCTTTTCATGAGGACAGATGCATCCCGAGCTTGTTATGATGAAGTGACCAGTCAGAGACCGTGTTTCTGGGAACGAGCTACAAAACGGAGAGCCAAAGGTCACCGATTGACCCAAAATGAAAGCTGGATTCCCATCATCCTACACTGGAGTTCTCGTAGGCCAAATGGTACGTCCACCACATCACTCAGCAAAGCAAACACATCTGAGATGCATTGATTTTACTCAAAGCTTTTAAATGACAAATTAGCCCGATGATGCAATTCATCAACCTTTGAATGCTCAATTAAAAGAAAAAGTGAATTTATTTTTTTCGTCTTTAATGTCAAGTCCCTAAAAACGTCATCAGTCAGATGGATCAGTTTGACCCTCCTAGTGTCAGCCCTCAGCCTCCATCTCAGTGATAATCAATCAAAACTCTTAGATCGGCAAACTTAATGTATAAAGAGGCTTTTCATTTTTTCTTTTACAAAAAGACCTTTAAATAAATTCATAGCATAATTTTGTTATTGAAATAATCATTAGTACACATGTTATCATTAAAGTGCAATCAGTACTTCTCCGAAATCCTTTCAGATGGCCTCTCACCTCTCTGCACAGAGTCTTCGAGCTTTCTGCAGCTGCAGGTTTATCCACTTTGGTCTCTTTTCCTCCAAAGCCTGCAATACTTTGTGCACTGTAGGTTTAGGAATACCCTGTCAAAGATCATTCACACAAGTTGTATTAGTTGTAACAAATAAGCTTGATGCAAAGTGCAAATAGATCAAATATGCATGAATAACAAATTGATCACAAGCAATATGCATATAATTATGTCAAACAGCAGAAAAGAGTAATTTAAGAACTAATTAAGCAGAATTAACAGATGCCATTAGGTCTGACCTGCAGAATCAGTCAAAGGAAAACTGTTTGATTTTGATCTTCTATGAGTTAAAATCAAACTATTATTTTATTGACATAGATAAATCGTTTACCTTTTGTTGGATGCTCATTGTAGCCTGCAGGCACTCTCTGAACAGAGACAGGCAGTCTTTTGCAACACAGTCCAGATCCAGACCACTGGTCTGTTCAAGCACATCATGGTCCTCCAGACCCTGGATCAAACACCCCAGCAAGGCCCAGAGCAACAGGCCCATTGAACGCAGCTGCCGGGCATGCTGGGATAGGTACTTTTCTGCCATTTGAAAGAGGAAGCGGACAGAGAGAGGCAACGATGCCACGGCCGATGGCAGGTTGGTAAAAATGTAGGATAATGCTTGGATTGCTAAGGATACGACAGCTGAAAGGAGAAAGACATAAAAAGAATATTAAAAAAGGATTGTTTTAGATTATTTCTCGATGTGACCCTGGCTTTGTTCCTACATTTAGGCGCAGCATCCTTCCCTCCTCCATCAGTTGTTTCATAGTTCCAGTCCTTGGGTATTTTAGCCAGGACACTCTCTGGCACCTTTCTTTTAAACAAGGGTGCTTTACATTCCTCTGCTCCCTGCCAAGTCAGCACCATGGAAACCAGATGTACCAATATGCTGTTGGTGGACTTTGTCACCAAATCTCGAACACAGTTAATAACCACAGGTGTTGCTTGTGTGACATCTGTTAAAAATACAGAAGCAAGGCAGCAAGTGAGAAAAGTGAAATCATATGCAACAAAACACCTAAGAAATTAGACATTAGAAATCCAACTACAGATCTAGTTACTAATAAGAAAATAACAAAAATATCACAATGTACAGGGTTAGTTATTTTTGAACAAAATAAAAAAAAAACTCAGTTTTGTTAATATTTTAACAGAAACTGGAGGGTCAGACAGGTGCATACAACTTATTCAATGGAAAAGCTTAAAAGCATAATTGCTAAGCAGGTTCTAGATGGTTTTTCTGATAAATTATGACAATTTATATGATCAAGTCGTTGAGATCAGAAAACCTCCTTGCCATCACTCTAATCCTAGTCTAAACTACTTCCAACAGTTGTTAGATACAATGCAGGACAGATAGCAAGCCACTCCCAAATGTAAAATATTACTTTCAGTTTGTAGAAACATTTTAGTAAAAATAAATGAATACATCAAACCTAAAAAGAGCTAATGGCTGCAGGTATAAATAAATATTTGCTGTTGTGTGTAGAATTAAGACTGAGTTGATGAGAGGAAATATGCAATACGTGTAATTTTGTGCTGCAAATTCTTTTTTTAAAAACTCTTGAAGTTGTATTTTACTTCATAGGAAAAAAAAATTAGAACATTTTTATTATTAAAAGCCCAAAATCATTGTATAAAAATAACCAGTAACTGTTACCTGTAAACTTGTTTTTGCAACTGTGTTAACATATGTCATTGAAATAAATGACACGTGTACACTCGGTCACCAGGCAGGCATATTTTCAATTAAATCCTCACAATCCAGGAGGTAATTCTGTGTCAAAATAACTGGTCTTTTCAGATAAGATGAAAGCACATTTAATTCAAATATGCTGCATATTTCCTTAAACATAGAAAAAGGATTACTAAACAGCAAGCCGATGTTATTAATCAGATGTTCTTTACTGAACCCAGATGTTCCAATGGCAGCATTTTTTCTATCTTCACCAGGTGCAGCTTGGCTTATATCCCTTTCCCCTTTCATATCATGTTATTACTGATAACAGAGCTTCTAGAGAGGTTGCGTGGCATCTATAAACTTCCCACAGCTCTGGCTGGAACGCTACAAGCTACAAATTACAGTGTTGGCAAAGGAGTATCTAGAAACACAGAGAAGATGGGTACACTCAGAGCCTCAGATAAAAAAATAAGAGAAGTGAAATGAAAAATTATATGACTCCTTGAAAGAAAAGAAGTCTCTGGCAACTGTAGTCTGAATCTACTCTTTAAAGTAACTTTATTTTCAGGCTTAAAAGTGAATTTTCTTTATCGACCTGTGTATTGATTTGAAACAACCTTTAAAGTCCTGTGTGGTAAAACATCAGAATAAAAGGGGAAACTGTCAAAACTCTCAGCGTGATCTATGAGAGTTAATTCAGCAAACAGTTTAAATAGAAATGGGGGCACTGGGGGTATCCTGTAACCAAAATTATAACATAAAGATTTGGAACAGTCCAATAATTAAACTAATTACCCTTTGAGGATAAGTGATGATTGGATGACATTGAGAACTTCTTTCTGGCACACTCTATCTCACTTTCGTTCATTTGCTTTTCGACCCCTCCCGTGCTTTGTCTCTATCCAAATACTCTTCTCCAGTCACCCTAATTTATGCTGCAATAATTACCACTCAGCCAGGATGTAAGAATCCCTCCTAAAATGAGCTCTCTTCACTACAGGAGTTCCGATTAAGCTCTGCTATAAAAGCTTGCATCTGAGGCAAGACAAAAGAATTCAGTTAAAAGTCGTATGATAGTAATACCTTTGATCATTTGCACTCAATGTCAACACTGTCCTTTAAAGAGTAAAACTAAAGAACTGTTGATAGGTTTACTTTAGAATAATTTTTGCTGTTTTCTTATAATGTAGTAGTGCGAAAAGTTTGGATGTCTCTTAGTTTTTCATGGACTAGTTTCTTAGAGATGCACTCATCAAGTGATTGGAATGGGATTTTTTTTTTTTTTGACCAGCCCCAACTGCTGATTGGCCAGTTGGTAACCATATCTCTCATGTGTATCCAATCTGTGAGTGCACCATGAATAACAACAATGGAATTGTGTTTTATCTGTATAGTTATGCTGCTATAGGCTTAGACTGTTGGAGGACAAAGGAACCCCTTTTCATCATTCAGCTTCATTCTATCTCTATTCTCCCATTCTGCAGTATTGTTAGTTCAATCTCTAATTTTAAGCCTCTCTGCTTTTTCTCATCATATTAGCTTCATCTCATTGTATCTCTTCTTCTTTCTGTATATCTGCTTCTGTCTCCTTGAACCCCAGTTGTCCTTGGCAGATGGCGGCTCACACTGAGTCTCGTCCTGCTTGAGGTTTCTTCTTGTTAAAAAGGAGTTTTTCTCTCCACCGTCGCAACAAGCTTCCTTGGTGTGAGGGACTGTCTTCGAGTCAATTCAATCAGCTGGTTTTCCTTAGATAGAAAATTTTGAACCAACCTGACTGTATAATCTGGTTGAATAGTCTCTGTAAAGTGCCTTAAGATGATGTGTTGTGAATTGGTGTTATATACATAAACTGAATTGAATTGAATTGCACTTTAAAGAACACTCTTCTGTGAGGATGTTTTGGAAAAGACTCATCAATTTTCAAAAGCAGGACCTCGTCTCCCGTCAGTTGTATATCAAAATTTTACATCTATGTATACAAATATGACTTAGTCAACTTTTATTGTCATTTTGTATACACATTTTGTATACACAT